CTCTGAAAATGGTTCTAAGCACTGCATTCACTGTAAAGCCTGTGGGACGGAGTTTGATGGTAACAGCGTTCGCCACCGAATCTACACATTTCGTAATTGTTGTTTTACGATGTGCGGTTTGACATTATCGAGTATATTGCAAAGTCCAATCACGGCATGATTCAGTCTATTAAAAGGCATCACAACATGAAGTATGATTCATTTCTGTCACTGCTGTGAACTGACCACCACACAGAATATGAATATTAAAAATTTTAGGAGTCAGCTGTCCACTGTAGTCCTTAAGATATCAGCACAGTAACACTCAGTCAAATTATTGTTAAGGATTAAATCCCAGAAAATATCGAGATATAATTTTCTGTCAATATCACACACCCCTAGCTGCCAGCCGTTCAGTGCAACTGGCAGAGCTGAATGTAAAATTTAACACTGCATACACCATCCTAACCCTCGGCAAAGAAGAACTTAACTTTAGGTTATTTACAAAAGAAATCTGTCAGTGTTCTTTTCATTTTCTCTCTTCTTCAGCCCTTTCTTTTTCTCGCGGTAGTTAGCGGAAAGCAGTGACTGAGAGATTGACAGCTAATATTAACCAATATAAAATCTGCATTAAAGTTAAGAATGTAAGGATACAATCTGTTAATATATAATTTGTAGTTGTGATGCTCATAAATTTTTGGTGAGTGCTCCTAAATATTTGCTGGTGCTCCTAACTTTTTGAAGTTGGGAGCACCAGTGCTACCAAGTAAAAAAGTTAATTTCGAGCCCTGAATACAGATTGTTTCAAATAAGTTTTAAAGTTTTCAATTACTTTAAAGCAGCTCTAAAAAGACAATGGTAAACAGTCATTATTCAGTTGAAATCAGTTCGTTTATTCAGTTTGGTTCAGTAACTATGTAAAGTCCATCAATTATGAAATGTGATTGTCATCTATAAAGCAGCTCTGGAGAAAACAGTGATGTCATCATCCAGCTCAGGTTTAGTTCTCATCCTGTAGTGTCTGTGCAGTCAAGTCAATAATATTGCCAAATATTAAGTGTCCCCAACTAAGGAAGAGGCGACAGTTGCAATTAGCCCAAATGCCATCTTTGTCACCGATTTTTTCCATTGGGAAAAAACAAGCTCATTCGAGGGGCCAGTTCTCCTCTGGCCAAACAAACCAACATGATGTGTCTTAATTCCAGGCTGCGTCACAAGTCAGAAATGTGGATTGATATCATTCAGAATATTTAATTTCATACCTTCTGCTTGAAGATCTGTAGCCTATAAATTGTGCAGCAATGTTTTGTGTGCTACAATTCAGGGCTCTGTGCTTACTTTTCTTTTTAGGAGCACTTGTGCTCCTAATTGAAAAAAATTAGGAGTGCAGTCAAAAAACTCAGGTGCACCTTCTGATCAGTAATCAAAAATTCTGATAAAAAAATTTGCCTTCCCATTACCAGGTGATATTTGACTCTTTAATGATTTACAGGGGCATTTCTTTACCTTTTTCTCATTTTAATAAAAGTATGTAATCTTTCATGTCAAATTCAAAAATTTATATTTTGAAGCTTTTAAAATATCTAAGACAATAGAATAAGAACAAGTAGAATAAAAAGAATACTGATCATTTGAAATCAGTATTAACAAAATTAATTTGCTGTAGAGAGGTAGACCGAGGAACACAAAAGTGGCTTGTAGGTGTATTTTCAGATGTTTAATGAGGCTTAGAGATGGTATGAGTCCAATTAAGTTAATAAATTCATGTTGAGATTAACATTTTAAATATAAAATGTTGAATATAGAAATATTAAATGATTTAAGCAACTTAAATGATACTTTAAAGGGGCCGTGAACTGAGAAACCAAAATTGCTTTGATGTTTTCACATATAAGATGTCATTGTACTATAAAAACATCCTGTACATGTCGGCGTCAATATTCTTGTGGACAGCGCGCCGACATAAAGCACTGTTGCGCTACTGGTGTCCCGAGTTAGAATCCTGGCTCAAGGACCTTTCTCGATCCTGCCCCCTCTCTCTCTCCCACTTCGATTCCTGTCTCCTCTACACTGTGCTATAACAATAAATGTAAAAAAATTTTTTTTTTTAAATTCTTTAAAAAAAAAACATCCTGTAGATTTCAGAACTCTAAACTTTGCCGTTAGTCTTAAAAAAAGCTTGTATTAAAGGCAGTCTGGCAAAACAACAGCTTTTGGAATGTTCTACTCTATGATAGTGTGGATAAGCCTCCGCAGAAGAAGATCAATGCCTGCTTCGATCTCACTGCCTGTTTAGCCACGCCCACCCATTCACACATGTAGTGTTTACGAGAGAGGCGAACGGGCAGGTCTACGCAGAAACCAAATGATAAAGATTGCTCTGAAGACAACGAGACGCTGTGCAGTGCCAATTTGTGGAAAAACAGTATTTGCATTGCCTTCCTTCTGATCCCAACATTAGGAAAGAGTGGATGAACTTTGAATATTGAAACTAAAAGACAATGCTGTGCCAACTATATTGGATCTAGGGCTGGGTATCGATTCAGATGTCCCGATTCGATTCGATTTCGATTCGCAAGCTCTCGATTCGATTCGATTCTCGATTTTTTTGTTTACATTTAGTGAATATAGTTTTAATACAAATGCTATATGCTTCTGCAGATTTATAGTATTACTATAGCATTTCACCTGAGCCTTGCGAATTGCGCGTATGGCCATGATGAGTGCTGAATGAATGACAGGATTTCTGTTGTAACATCGCACAAGGTAAATAAGGGTGACATCTAGTGGAGAAGACTAATGATGAGATTCACGTTAATCAGATCTTGTTTTAAATGTGTGCTTGAAATAAATACTGGAAAAGATCGATTCGCGGCTTTTGAGAATCGATATCGAATCGACATCATTTAAAAAAACGATTAATCAGAAAATCGATTTTTTTTTTGCCCAGCCCTTATTGAATCCTACAGTAATGTCGCAACAAGTGTAACTGCTTTCATTACGTGGTCACTATTGCTTTGTCTCTTCTTACAGATTGTTTGATATCGAGTTCCTACAATCCGCCACACCTAGCGTTCTGATGAGGGGGGTTAAAAACAGGACAGAAAATAGCTTATTACTTCTAAATTATGATGTTTTTGATGTAAACATTTTGATAGCATTATAAGTGGACCTCAGAGAAGAGTACAAAATAAAAAAGGCAGTTCATGACCCCTTTAAAAATGAAATTAAAACTGCCAGTAGGTGGCAGCAAGTCACTGATTTTATCACTGAATCATTCATTAAATTGATTCATTTCAAATGACTGATTTATTCAGGAATGAAGCAAGTGACTATCTTTATGAATTGGTAATTGAATCATTGATTCACTAGATTTGTTTAAAAACACACGTTCATTCATAAACGAAATAGCGATGTGCAGCAGTGACTGAGTACTCAAGTACTCAGCCGTGACAGCGACAATCGATCATGAAAACAATGATCGTGTGGGTTTAAAAAAAAAAATTCTGATTGGTTATAGCAGCACTTTGGCCGGCACCCAAAGTATAGACGTGAGAAGAGAGAGAAGCATGGATTCGAAGTCACGTAGTGATGTCTGGGTTAGCTACATACATATCTGATTAATCTAATATAGAGTGCTTTAGGATATTAACATTTATTATCATGCTGAATGCGCTGCATATTACCAGTGTTTAGTTTCATGCTCAAATGCAATGCCCGATATTGACTGTCCGAGTTATTTGAGATGGTCATATTGCTTTTAGATGTTTCTTTTTTTTAAATACTGATGTTAATAGTGCAGAATTGCTTTTTTTCGTCATATTTGTTCAACAGTAGGCATACTTCAATTAAAATTGTTTTCATAATTTGTATGGCTTTGAAAATGCACAGGCGATTTCAGGAATCTCTTGATAATGTAGTTGAAAATATAGCACAAACCTGCCATAAACATAGCATTATAATGACAACTTTATAGAATGTGAAATCTATAGTAAATTCTGTCTGCTTTCTTTGCCCGTGCTTCAGCTGTTATGAAAGTGCATCACGGCAGGATCTCTCTTTCGCTATAGTGTGCAACTTAAAGTTCACTGGCATTTGCATCCTTTTGTGCAGATACAAGTTGTAATGTTACGTCTATGTTATGTATCTAAGTTATCTGATTAATATCATAGGATGTGTCATCATAATCATAATCTAACAGTGTTTCTGTAACATGGAAGCGTGACAACTGGGTTGAGGATCCACATGCAGGCTTTATTATAAAGAGTGTAGTCACAAACGTAGTCAGACAGGCAGGGTCGAACACCAGCAAACAATATAATCCAAGGCAGAGGCAAAAGAGTAATCCACAAACAGGCAATGGTTAGGGCAGGCATTGAACAATCATGAAACAAGGAAACAGTCCAGGGACAGAAACACAGGCAGGGCAAAACTGGAAAACTAGTAAAACACGGGAACAAAAACGGAAACTATGATTTGAGCACGTGTCCGACTTAAATAGTCCTCCTAATGGGAAATGAGTGGAGTCCGTAATTGGTTCCTAGGCAAGGGGTATATGGGAAATGGAGTCCAGAATGAATGGCAACAGTATGGGATGGAGTGCCCTCTAGAAGTGCTAATAGGCATTCCACCTAGAGATTGTAACAGTTCTAATCATGTGTTCATGTTTTCATAGACCGGTTTTAATGTCATATTTTTATTTTTAACATTCATTTTCACAATAGTCTTCAGATATTTTCATTATCTCCATGAGAGCCATGCACCACACATGATCTTTGAAACCTATCGATGATCGAAATGAGAAATTGCCAAAAATGCCCATTCCTAAAACGAAACAAAGCTGTTTGTGAATGACGATGCGGCTCAGCTGTTGCTTTGTTTAAAACTATTTTCATTGATGAAATAGAGCAAAATCATGCAGTAGTGTTATAGTCAATGCAAGTCACTTAATATTATCTTCTTGTTTATTAAACTATCGTAATTAAATCAATATCACATTTGCAAACTCCCTTAATAATCATTAAAAGCTGTCACTCCCTTTAGTTGATCGCAATCTCACAAAGTTCCATCATAATCAACAAAGCTCCCTACATTGCACAATGAATCTCTCATTTCCACCATGTCTACACTTTATTATATTGAGATAATTTGTGAGCTTGCATAACTCAGCACTGAACAAAACACCAGTGTTTTGAGCAGTGAGTGGATTCTGATTAAGATTGCATTCAAGGAATCAACAGATATGTCTGTGATAAATTACTCAACGGTACAAAAACACGCAAGTCGAAACCTTTGACGCACCCCTCAACACAAACATAAATATGCTGATCGGGTCAGTCGCACTGGTGCTCTTAAATATTTTTTCATATTCGCACGCAGTAGTTTTCAGTCGCAAATGCAACTGAAATGGTTGTACTGAAGAGCCCTGCAACTATGTGACCTGTCCTAATATAATATATAAAATGTATGTTACATCTCTAAAAAAACCACAAGTGGTGCAATTCATCACTTAAACAGGCATGCGACTGGCAAAGGACATTGATGCTGCATACAGGGCACATAAAATCCAACTCACAGAATCACGATCAGATTTTTTCTAGATCCTGCATTAAATTTATATTTTGACCTCACTATTCGGGGAACAGACACAGTCTTTATAGATTGGACAACGCAAGTACTTCTATCATTTAAGCGGGTAGAACAAAAGCCATCATAGCAGTTATTTGAGAATTGGCTTAATCACAGAAAAACTGCACTTTTTGTGTGATATAGATAAAGTTAACTATACAGAAGCATTTTCGCCATCTACAATTTAGAATACCTGGAATTTTGAGTTTTAATAGACTAATAAATCAAGGTGCGTGCACTCTGTGTGTGATTTGGTGATATAGCATACTTGATAATGTCAGATCGCACATCATTACAACAACACTTTTTTTTTAATCAATATATTTATTATTTTCACATCAACAATTTACAGAATCAGTACAATTTACAAGTAAACATTCTTTCCTAACCACCCTTCCACCCCCATCCCATCCTCACTAGACAGAACACTTAAATGAACATTATTGCGAGGCATTGAGCTGGTGTGTAAGAGTTTGAAATAAATATAAAAATTTAGGAAGAACGTTCATTTTTATGCAATTTATCTTGCCAATTAGTGATAATGGTAGTGAGTTCCATCTTTCCAAATCTCTCATTACTTTTTTAAGTAATGGGGAATAATTCAAAGAATATGCTTCTTCCAGCTTCGAAGGAATATTTAATCCTAAATAAACTATCTTTTCCGAATTCCATAAAAAAGGAATGTTATTTAAGGGCATTTTCTCCGCAGCCAAATTAATTGGCATCATAACACTTTTATTAATATTAATTTTATAACCAGATATATCTCAACATTTTTCCAACAGTTGAGATAAAGTAGGCAGAGATGATTCAGGATTTAGTTAGATATAACATAACATCATCCACGTACAATGATATTTTGTGTACACAGCCTCCTACCTCTAGCCCAGATATTGATTTGTTTGCCCGTATTGCTATGGCCAGGGGTTCCACTGCCAATGCAAAAAGTAGTGGAGACAGAGGACATCCCTGTCTGGTTCCCCTTGATAAATGAAAGTGCGAAGATAAATCAGAGTTAGTACGGACGGTTGCCGATGGACTTCTATACAACATTCGAATCATATCAATAAATTTGGGACCGAAATTCATTTTATGCAAAATAGCTATCAAATAAGGCCATTCTACTCGGTCGAATACTTTTTCTGCATCTAAAGAAAGAGCAATCACCGGAGAATCTATTTGTTTTGCAGAGTAAATAATGTTCATTAACCTCCGTATATTATCGACAGATTATCTATTTTTAATAAATCCAGTTTGATCCATATGAATTAAACTAGGCAAAACCCCCTCTAAACGTAATGCAATCATTTTAGTAAGAACTTTATAATCAGAATTAAGTAGTGAGATCGGCCGATATGAGGTACATAGATTAGGGTCTTTGCCAGGTTTCAGCAGGACTGTAATTAAAGCCTGATTTAAAGTCTCTGGTAATTCTTTTTTATAAATTGCCTCCTCATACATTGAAAGCAATGGGTCAGCTAATTTAGAAAAAAAAGTTTTATAAAAATCCATCGAAAATCCATCGTTTTACCCCCGGCTAGTGCAGCAACTGCAGACTGAATCTCTTCTTTCGAAATTTCTTTTTCCAGTTCTTCTCGGTCATTATAACATAAGACTGGGATATCCAATTTGCTTCAAAAGTTTTGGATTTCAGCTTCCTCTACTCCATGAGACTTATACAGCAATTTATAAAAATCTAAGAATTCTTGGTTAATTAATTTTGGGTGTTTGATACTTTTATTATCTGAAGAGCATATTGTAGTTATAGATTTACAAATTTCTTCTTTTCTTATTTGCCATGCTAACACTTTTCCAATCTTATCACCGTGTTCGTAATACCTCTGTCGTGATCTGAGAAGTGCATTTTCTGCTTCTTTAGATGACAAAATATTGTATTCCAATTTTTTAGACCGCAATTGTTGAAACAGCTGAGTATCCTTAGTCTTGGAGTGTTCTCTTTCAATTGTTAAAATGTCTTTTTCGAGCAATTGTGATTGTTTTTGATATTGTCTTTTCTTACTGGAAGAATAATTAATGATTTTGCCCCTTAAGAATGCCTTCAAAGCCTCCCAAATGATACCCGGAGAAGCATAATTTCTATTTGTAATGATAAAGTTGTCTATATTATTATTTATAAAGCCCAACGCTTCATCATTGTTTAATAAATGGCCACTAAATCGCCAAAGTTTACAATTTGACAGTTCCGGAGAATAATGCACTGAGATAAGTAAAGGAGCATGATCTGACAATATTCTTGGTAAATAATCACATAATTCAATCAAATAATCCTTCGCTTTTGGAACCAAAAAATAGTCAATTCTGGAGTAATTATTATGCCTGTGTGAATAGAAAGAGTATTCTTTTTGTTTGTTTTATTCTTAAATCTCCATATATCTATTAAGTTAAAACATGAGAGTTCGTATTTTAAGGCTTTGGCAACCTGAGTTAATGGTGACACTTTAGTGGACGATCTGTCTAATACTGGGTCTAATACTACATTAAAGTCTCCTCCAATTATTAGCTCTGCAATAGGGCATGCACATTTGAAGAATATATTATGAATAAAATCAGCACCCTCCATTTCAGGACGGTATACATTTACTAAGGTTATTCTTTGCATCGCAATCGTTCCTCTTAAAATAATATATCTGCCGGATTTGTCTTTATCAACAGATTCCATTTGAAAGGGTATATTTTTATCAATAAGTATAACCACCCCTCTGGATTGTGAAGTAAAAGAAGAAAAGAAAACCTGTCCAGGCCACTGTTTTTTAAGGTTTTTATTGTTCAGAATCAGTCAAGTGTGTTTCTTGTAGCAAAGCAATTCCAATGCTATGTTTTCTGAGGTATAGAATTACTTTTTTCCTTTTAAGTCTTTGATTTAACCCATTGACATTCCAAGTAACATACTTATATTTCAGTGTACTTGACATTAACTATATTTTTTGTTCTATTTCCATCTTAGGGCACTTTAAGGACTT